AATTTTTGTGTGTGTGTGTATTTTTAGTAGAGACAGGGTTTCACTATGTTGGCCAGGCTGGTTTCCAACTCCTGACCTCAGGTGATCCACCCAACTTGGCCTCCCAAAGTGCTAGGAATATAGGCCTGAGCCACAATGCCCGGCCTTTTTTTTTTTCCTTTTTTCTTTTTTTTTTTTTTGATACAGGGTCTCACTCCCATTGCCCAGGATGGAGTGCAGTGGCAGGATCTCAGCTCACTGCAGCCTCAACTTCCTGGCCTCAAGTGATTCTCCTACCTAAGCCTCTGGAGTAGCTGGGACCTCAGGTGCGCACCACCATGCCTGGCTAGTATTTTGTATTTTTAGTAAAGATAGCATTTCACCATGTTGCCTAGGCTGGTCTTAAACTCCTGGACTCAAGCAATCTACCTGCCTTGGCTTCCCAAAGTGCTAGGATTGCAGACATGAGCCACTGCACTGGCCCAGATGCAGTTGTTTTGTTTGTTTGTTTTGAGACGGAGTCTCGCTCTGTAGCCCAGGCTGGAGTGCAGTGGTGCAATCTCGGCTCACTGCAACCTCCGCCCCCCAGATCCAAGTGATTCTCCTGCCTCAGCCTCTTGAGTAGCTAGGATTACAGGCAGGTGCCACCATGCCTGGCTAATTTTTGTATTTTTAGTAGAGATGGGGTTTCACTGTGTTGGCCAGGCTGGTCTCAAATTCCTAGACTCAAGCAATCTGCCCACCTCAGCTTCACAAAGTGCTGGGATTACAGACATGAGCCACCGCGCCCGGCCCGAGATGCAGTTTTGACATCATTTCCCCTGCACCAGGGTTTTCTCAACAGGAAATGATGAGGGGCTGCTGGAAGCTGCCTTGTGTTGTCTTGAAGGAGGATTTCTGCCCCAGGTGAAATAATGTGTCAGAGCAAGCCCCCTCGTGCTCTCAGGACCAAGAGCCCTAGTCTGATCTTGTCCCACAACTCCATGCCTTAGAGGATCCACCTGTGCCTCCTCCACAGCAGTTGTTGTAATGCCCAAACTAGATCTCTGCTGGGCTGTTAGCCAACACAGGATCCCCTCTCCACTCCTCCTGCCTGATCCAGACCCCATCCTTTCAAGCAAGGTTCAGCTACTGCTGTGGTGCTTCCACCAACCCTCTATGACCCTGATTAGCCCTTACCAGCACTACCCATGAATTCCCTTAGCCAGTATCACCATAATACAGAAAGAAATGAGATGCAAACTGATCAGGGTGTAGGTAGATCTCTTGCTGAGAGGGCCACTATTAACTAACATTTGATGTGTAGACTCTTCTGGGTCTTTTTGTGTGTGTATATTAACATATATAGAGAAAAAATATTCAACACTAAATGCTAAAACAGGTCCAGATGCAGTGGCCCATGCCTGCAACTGGAACACTTTGGGAGGCCAAGGTGGGAGGATCACTTGAGGCCAGGAGTTTGAGACCAGCCTGGACGACACAGAAAGACCCTATCTCTAAAAAAGAACTAAGGCTGGATGTGGTGGCTCATACCTGTAATCCCAGCACTTTGGGAGACCTAAGTGGGCAGATCGCTTGAGCTCAGGAGTTCAAGGCTGCAGCGAGCTATGATCACCCCACTGCAACTCCAAGGAAAAAAGCTAAAATAATGATCCCCCATAAAAATTGTTCTTAAATTTCATTTTCGGGGCTGGGCACAGTGGCTCATGCCTGTAATCCCAGCACTTTGAGAGGTCGAGGCAGGCAAATCACTTGAGGTCAGCAGCTCAAGACAGCCTGGCCAACATGGTGAAACCCCATCTCTACTGAAAAAACAAAAATTATCCAGGCATGGTGGCCGGCGCCTGTAATCCCAGCTACTTGGGAGACTAAGGAAGAATGGCTTGAACCCACGAGGTGGAGGTTGCAGTGAGCCAAGACTGCACCATTGCACTCCAGGCTGGGCAACAAGAGCCAAAACTCTGTATCAAAACATGAAATGAAATGAAATAATGAAATGAAATGAAATATCTATAGTGAATCTTTTTCTGTCAGTCAAAACAGACAGATCGAATTAACTCTTCTGAGCCTCAGCTTAGAGTATTTTACCTGCCTGGGAGCTGGGCACAAGCCAGCAGCTAACCCCCACGTGGGCCTGGGTAGGAGGTGAGATCAGGAAGATCCCTGGGCCCCTACTAGTTCCCCGCCTGGCCTGCTCCCCTACTTGTCTTGGGGGTCTACGGAGCCAGCATTGGGGGTGGAAGGGCGAGGGGTCCTCGACGCTGCAGCGGCGGTTCCGGCCCATGGGGGCGCTCTCCTACCTGGAGACGGAAAAGCCGTGGCGCCCCCTTGCGTGGCTCTTCGGTCGCAGAGTCGCGTGACTTCAATCCACTGTTCGCGAGGCCACGAGGCTGGGTCGTCATGGTCCGGACCCCATTGTCGGCCTCTGCCCGTCGCCTGCTCCTCCCAGGCTCCCGCGACCGACCCCAGCGCCATATGCAGCCCACAGGCCACGAGGGTTCCCGCGCGCTCAGCCGGCGGCATCTGCGGCGTCTGCTGCTCCTGCTATTGCTGTTGCTGCTGCGGCAGCCCGTAACCCGCGGGGAGACCACGACGGGCGCCCCCAGAGCCCTCTCCACGCTGGGCTTCCCCAGCCCCTTCACCACGCCGGGAGTCCCCAGCACCCTCACTACGCCAGGCCTCACTACTCCAGGCACCACCACAACCCTGGACCTTCGGAGTCGCGCGCAGGCCCTGATGAGGGATTTCCCCCTCGTGGACGGGTATGTAGGTGCAGCGTTTGGGCAATGCAGGGTGAACACACCTTGGGCAGGAGAGGAGGTTCTGACATGCAGGGCTATCAAGGAGGCTCCCTCACACCACCCCTGGATGCCCTCTCTCCTCCATCACCCATGGGTGCCCTTCCCCCCATTGCCGCATTCCTGGTGGAACCTAACCCCCTCCCTCCAACCCGACTTCAGGAGATTTCTATATGGTCTGCGTGAGGAGCTGCCTGGTGGGGTGGGGGAGGGTAGACCCAAGCACCTGGTGTATCCTGACTGATCTGAAGGCCTTGTTTCCATCTGACCTTCACGCCCCCAGCCACAATGACCTGCCCCAGGTCCTGAGACAGCGTTACAAGAATGTGCTTCAAGATGTTAACTTGCGAAATTTCAGTCACAGTCAGACCAGCCTGGACAGGCTTAGAGACGGCCTCGTGGGTGCCCAGGTACCACAGGGACACACAGGGTGCCACAGCATGGCTGCTGGGGGATGTTGGGGTCACAGAAACCTGGATCGCCCAGCCTCTGGGTGACTAAATACAATGGGGCATGCAGTGTGCCATCATGTGGCTTCTAAGGAGAGTGGGGCCTTAGAGGCCAAGACAGGCTAGCTGCAGGGATGCCCAGGTTCTGTGGAAACATGCAGAAAATGACCAGAAAATCCCTGGTGTGGGGTCAGTCTGCTGTAATTACAAAGGACATTGAAATGTGGATTGCCTTGGGGCATTCACATAGCACATGGACTAAAAGCAGTTTTTTGCTTGTTTGGTTGTATTTTTGAGACAGTGTCTCCTTCTGTAGCCTAGGCTGGAGTGCAGTGGCACGATCTCGGTTCACTGCAACCTCTGCCTCCCAGGTTCAAGCAATTCTCCCTGCCTCAGCCTCCTGAGTAGCTGGGATTACAGGCACTCGCCACCATGTCTGGCTAATTTTTGTAGTTTTAGTAGAGACAAGGTTTTACCATGCTGGCCAGGCTGGTCTCCAACTCCTGACCTCGGGTGATGCACCCTCCTAGGCCTTCCACAGTGTGAGAATTACAGGCGTGAGCCCCTGGGCCTGGCCATAACAGTAATTTATGATGTGTTGTGAGTCCATCATTTGACTGCTGGCAGCCATCATCAAGGAACCAGGGCTCGGTGGTTCACAGCTGTAATGCCAACACTTTGGGAAGCTGAGGTAGGAGGATTGTTTGAGCCTGGGGGGTCAAGGCTGCAATAAGCCATGATCACACCACTGCACTCTAGCCTGGGTGACAGAGCAAGACCCTGTCTCAAATTTTAAAATAAAAAATATAAAAAATAAATTTAAAAAAAGTCATCGAGGTACCATGGAGTCATGTAGTGCCTCGCTTGGGGCCACTGACCCAAATGGGTATTATGGGGTCTAAGGCAGGAGTGGCAGGCCTAGGGGATGAAGACCACCCTGGCCTCATTCTGGACCCCTTGACCTACCCTCAGTTCTGGTCAGCGTCCGTCTCATGCCAGACTCAGGACCAGACTGCCGTGCGCCTCGCCCTGGAGCAGATTGACCTCATTCGCCGCATGTGTGCCTCCTACTCTGAACTCGAGCTTGTGACCTCAGCTGAAGGTGGGCCCGCAGATGAGAGAATAGTCAGGATGTCACTCTGGAGATTCTGTTCCTGGGATCTAACCACTTGACTCTCTACCTCCTTCTAGGTCTGAACAGCTCTCAAAAGCTGGCCTGCCTCATTGGCGTGGAGGGTGGTCACTCACTGGACAGCAGCCTGTCTGTGCTGCGCAGTTTCTATGTACTGGGAGTGCGCTACCTGACACTCACCTTCACCTGCAATACACCATGGTGAGCACAGCACCTGGCCAGGATGCTAGATGGCATGGTGTGGAAACTGCCCCATCCGTGGCATGGGTGTGACCAGGCCGTTGAGGATAAAGGGGTCTGCAGAGGGAGGCTGGACACCCAGCGGGTCTCTCACAGTCCCAGAAAGCAGCTGGTCCTGCACCTGTTCTGGAAGTGGGATGGATGGATAGACCCAGGGCTCCCAGGACCTGATGGCCCAAGGTGTGATCAGCTAAATTGCCCTTCCATGGCTGTCCTGCAGGGCAGAGAGTTCCACCAAGTTCACACACCACATGTACACCAATGTCAGCGGGTTGACAAGCTTTGGTGAGGTGAGGACTCCTGTTTTGTACCCCACCCCACCTGCTCCCTATGGATATGTGTATACACCTTTGCATCCCAACACCCTCCCCCACAAAAAAAACTAATTGTTTCTGCAGAAAGTGGTAGAAGAATTGAACCGCCTGGGCATGATGATAGATTTGTCCTATGCATCGGACACCTTGATGAGAAGGGTCCTGGAAGTGTCTCGGGCTCCTGTGATCTTCTCCCACTCAGCTGCCAGAGCTGTGTGTGACAATTCGTTGAATGTTCCCGATGACATCCTGCAGCTTCTGGTGGGTGGCCATCCCAGCTCTCAAACCTAGGGCTAGGCGTGTGTTATCCAAAGGTTCTTGACCCTGAGGAGAGAAAGCCACCAGGCCGGGTTTCACATACCCTTGAACCACAGGCTGGTGAATCCTCCATCCCTGAAACTCAAGGCCAAGTCATTTCCACCCAGGGACCCACAAGCCCAGAGAGGTGAAGCCTCTTCCAACCCCTGAAGCCAGGACGGAGCACAGTCCTACCAGGGCCCCCACAGCACAGGAGGCATGCTTTCAGGCCAGAAGGGCTGAGATGAGTGTCCCTTTATCCGTCTAGAAGAAGAATGGTGGCATCGTGATGGTGACACTGTCCATGGGGGTGCTGCAGTGCAACCTGCTGGCTAACGTGTCCACGGTGGCAGGTGAGTCCCTCCTCAGCTTTGTGCAGCGCCAGCTTGGGCTGTGGCTGCCAGGGCTCTCAGGACGACTCTAGCAGTCTAGTGCACCTGTTGGGCAACGGGCAGACCTCCCAATGACCCAGAGGCAGCAGACACGGCTCTTCAGTGCCACCCAGATCTGCAGCCACAGAGTCGGCGCTGATGGGTTTGATGCCTCTTGGTTTTGCTCCCGATCCTTGAACTTCTCTCATTCCCCACATGTCTGGGCAGGACAGGCTGAGCCCCACAAGGCTCTCAAGGAACCCAGAGGCAGGGTGGCTCCTGGGCAGGAAAAGGCCCAAAGGGGTGGCTCTGAGGTCCCCACTCTAGGTCCATGGACCAGCATGTAGCCGCTTCAGGACTCATGACTGGCCATGAGCTAGCTCTGTGGAGCCAACTGCCACAGCCTGGAGTGCTGGGGACAGGGCTGGTGCCAGGGTCTAACTCCAGCCTAGTGCTGCCCACACTCACCTCTACCTTAGATCACTTTGACCACATCAGGGCAGTCATTGGATCTGAGTTCATCGGGATTGGTGGAAATTACGACGGGGCTGGCCGGTGAGTGCTTCCCTGAGGTTTCTCTTAGGGTGGGGTGCCGCAGGGAGTCCTTTAGTCTTCGTTCCCATCCTGCCATCCTCCTATCCAGGCCTCAGCCACAGGCTCTGGTCTCGTAGCCCACCCGACACTCCCCACTCTCAGGGCCTGTTTCCTAGGTTCTCCCTGTCCCTTCAGTGGCCCAGTGGCCCTACTCCAAGTTGTCATACTTGCTAAATACTCCCCTCCCCAGGCAGGGCTCATCTGTCCAAGATAAGCTCCACTCCCAGCCCTGCAGACCAGCTGTGGGCTGACCATCTGCTCAGCAGGTGGAGGCTACAGAAGCCCAGTCCTCCAGGAGCCTCCACGGTTGCATTCACTAGCCTGAAGAACTTGGCCTTCAGTTTCCCCTGTGTGACTAGGGCTGGTGGGTAGCAGGCCCTAACCCAGGATCAGGGCTGAGGTCCCACAGCTGGCTGGTGGGTGGCCACACAGGTTCCCTCAGGGGCTGGAGGACGTGTCCACATACCCAGTCCTGATAGAGGAGTTGCTGAGTCGTAGCTGGAGTGAGAAAGAGCTTCAAGGTGTCCTTCGTGGAAACCTGCTGCGGGTCTTCAGACAAGTGGAAAAGGTAAGCTGGGCTGGTGGACAGGATGGTTCAGTGGTTTGAGCAAGGGAGGGGATTGCTGTGGGAGCCTCTGACTGTGGACTTCCTCCCCCAGGTGAGAGAGGAGAGCAGGGCGCAGAGCCCCATGGAGGCTGAGTTTCCATATGGGCAACTGAGCACATCCTGCCACTCCCACCTCGTGCCTCAGAATGGACACCAGGCTACGCATCTGGAGGTGACCAAGTGGCCAACCAATCGGGTCCCCTGGAGGTCCTCAGATGCCTCCCCATACCTTCTTCCAGGCCTGGTGGCTGCTGCCACCTTCCCAACTGTCATCCAGTGGCTTTGCTGACACGGCCGGTCCCCCAAGAGGTCACTGTGGCAAAGTCTCACGAAGCCCCCCGTCCTAGTTCATTCTTAAGCACATGCTGAGAATAAACATTTTACACATGGAGCCAGGTGCACATGTCCTTCCTTCTCCCTAGCGGGAGTGGGGGCAGGTGGGCTCTTGGTCAGTGAGGGATCTTGTGGTCTAGCCACAGCTGGTCAAGGTGGGTGCTTCCCACTCACCTCCAGCTTTGGCTCTCTCAGGAAGGCCAGAGGCATCTTATGAAATTCTTCAGCTAAAAGCTTGAGCCCACAGAAGAACACAAAGGAAGTGAGTTCAGTTTCAGTCCCTTCGTGGAGTGTGACAGTGGGGTGCTTCCCAGTTTCTGTCAAAGAGGTTAAATGTGTTTGTTTTTTTTAGAAGCTGATACTATTTATAGAATAAAGAACTTGGCCGGGTGCGGTGGCTCACACCTGTAATCCCAGAATTTGGGAGGTGGAGGTGGGCAGATCATGAGTTCAGGAGATCAAGACTATTCTGGCTAACACAGTGAAACCCCGTCTCTACTAAAAATACAAAAAATTAGTCAGACGTGGTGGCACGTGCCTGTGGTCCCAGCTACTTGGGAGGTTGAGGCAGGAGAATCACTTGAACCCAGAAGACAGAGGTTGCAGTGAGCCGAGATTGCACCACTACACTCCAACCTGGGCAAAAGAGTGAGACTCCGTTTCCGCCGACCCCCCTAAAAAAGAATAACTTGTTTGGAATTATCTGGAGAGTACCTTTGTAAAAGATTCTCAGATTAGGTCCTCTGATTTTTTTTAAAAAACTTATTTTTAAATGTGGGGGTGCAGAATCACCAAATCTTAAAAAAAAAAAAAAAAAAGAAATGAAACTCATGGGGTCTGCATGACTCACTCGAATGGCCTCTTCCTTTGGCCGCTTTCCTCTCCAGTTGGGCCAGAGCCAGATCTAAGTTCCTTCCATGGGAACCTTGAATTGGGAGGAAGAATGACTCCAGTGCCACCTATGTTATAAACCAAGGGTCTATATATGTCTGGGTCTGTTCCATTTATTTGGACTATGTGTTTATCATATTAATACCACACTGTCTTCATTACGGCAACTTTAAAATAAGTTTTGAGGCCGGGCACAATGGTTCATGTCTGTAATCCTAGCACTTTCGGAGGCCAAGGGAGGCGGATCACTTCAGGTCAGGAGTTTGAGATCAGCGTGGCCAACATGGTGAAACCCCATCTCCACTAATAATACAAAAAGTAGCTGGGCGTGGTGGAACATGCCTGTAATCCCAGCTACTCAGGAGGTTGGGACATGAGAATTGCTTGAACCTAAGAGGAGGAGGTTGCAGTGAACTGAGATCACACCAGTGCACTCCAGCCTGGGCAACAGAGTGAAACTGTGCCTCATAAAATATAAAATAAATAGCCGGGCATGGTGGCTCACGCCTGTAATCCCAGCACTTTGGGAGGCCAAGGCAGGCGGATCACAAGGTCAGGAGATCGAGACCATCCTGGCTAACATGGTGAAACCCCATCTCTACTAAAAATACAAAAAATTAGCCCAGTGTGGTGGCGAGCACCTGTAGTCGCAGCTGCTTGGGAGGCTGAGGCAGAAGAATGGCATGAACCTGGTAGGCGGAGCTTTCAGTGAGCCGACATCACACCACTGCACTCCAGCCTGGGAGATACAGCAAGACTCAGTCTCAAAAAAAAAAAAAAAAGAACAAGCAGAAATGTAAGACCCAGGCACCGACCCTATACCCATTAAGCACTTAACCACCATATGCTTTTTTCTTTTTTCAACCCAGGCTGGAGTGCAATGGTGGGATCTTGACTCACTGCAACCTCCGCCTCACAGGTTCAAGCGATTCTCCTGCCTCAGCCTCCCAGATAGCTGGGATTACAGGTGCCCACCACCACGCCTGACTAATTTTTGTATTTTTAGTAGAAACGGGGTTTCACCATATTGATCTTGCTGGTCTTGAACTCCTGACCTCAGGTGATCCAACCCCCTCGACCTCCCAGGTGGCTGGCCTGCTTTTTTTTTTTTTTTTTTTGGAGAGAGAGTCCTGCTCTGTCGCCCAGGCTGGAGTGCAGTGGCGCAATCTTGGCTCACTGCAAGCTCCACCTCCCGGGTTCATGCCATTCTCCTGCCTCAGCCTCCCAAGTAGCTGGAACTACAGGCGCGGCCACCACGCCCGGCTAATTTTTTGTATTTTTAGTAGAGACGGGGTTTCACCGTGTTAACCAGGATGGTCTCGATCTCCTGACCTTGTGATCTGCCTGTCTTGGCCTCCCAACGTGCTGGGATTACAGGCGTGATCCACCGGGTCGGCCTTGAAGGTTTTTTTGTTTGTTTGTTTGAGACAGTGTTTTGCTCTTGCTGGAGTGCAATGGTGCCATCTCGGTTCACTGAAACCTCCGCCTCCCGGGTTCAAGTGATTCTCCTGCTTCAGCCTCCCAACTAGCTGGGATTACAGGCACCCGCCACCATGCCCAGCTTATTTTTTTGTATTTTTAGTAGAGATGGGGTTTCACCATTTGACCAGGCTGGTCTCAAACTCCTCACCTCAGGTGATCCTACCGCCTCAACCTCCCCAAGTGTTGGGATTACCGGCGGCGTGAGCCACCGCGTCCGGCCTGGATCAGGAGTTTGATAAGTGAGGGTAGAGACAGAGGCTAGGTAGATGTCCCCCAGAGTGAACAGTGGGTGATGCCCAGAAACTCCACAAGTCTCAGGTGAGAGAGAGATTTGAAGGGCTGAGGCTGTGAGTTGGGTGGCGAAGTATGCCCCTGCAGAGGTCGGGGTCGGGCAGCATTGGGCAGGGCCTTATGGGCCGGGAGCTAGTAGGATTTTCCTTTGGAAGAGGCGGCTCTACGTGAGCAGGCGCGAGGGCAGGGAGTCCAGTAGGAAGGACGCTACTGTGGGCGGCCGAAGGTGGCGTGAGGGGCGGGTGGGTCAGGTCGGCGGGGCCCGCCGCGGGGGCCGTGGGGGAGGGGTCAGAGGGTGGTAAGCTCGGGGGTCGTCTCACGGGGCCCAGCGGCTCTGATTCCGCACCCCCCCACCCCCGAGCTGGAGGCTAGTAGGAGGCGTATTCAGAGGACGCCACCCGAGCCACGTGAGGGAGAAGAGTGGAGATAGACAAGTAAGATGGGCTCCGGGGTTTTCTGATAGACAAAAAAATAGTAAAGCCAACTAGATAAGTAATCTGAAGCAGTGGAGAAGAAAGTGAAAGAAACGTTAGGAGCAAATAAGTCAACGGCTTGCGTAGAGGAACACCCAGGAGGTGAGATAGTCAGAGTAAGTTAAAATGAAGGGACTTGGCTAAAGCACCCAGTGTACAGGCCCAAAAAGGCAAGCGGGGCAGGCGCGGCGCGGGAGGGTGGGTGTGGGTGTTCTTCCTGCCGAGGACGTAGCAGCCCCTGGGGAAGGACCGAGAATCCCCAGCTGCCTCCAACAGGAGAGGATGCGGCTAGAGGGCCCAGGGCTGGGACGGGACCTTCGCGGGGATCCAGTTTCCAGGGTCGCGGAAAAGTTGGATGCAGACGCTGGAAATGGGAAGGAGGTATCCGGGGATGGCAGGAGGCCCTGGGCAAGTGGCTTCCGCAGTCCTGGGCCGGTCCGGCCTGCCCTGCCCTGTCCAGGGCGCAGAGCAAGGACACCCCGCGACCCATCTCACAGAGCCCTAAAATAACCCCTAGGTGGAAGTGTGTTTCCCCCATTTTACAAATATTGCATCTGGGGCTCAGAGAGGGCGGCCTCTCACCCGACGTCACACAGGAATCGGGCCCGCCCCCAGGCCGTGGAGCCAGTAGGAGTGCCCCCGCCTAGGGGTCTTCCCGCCACCCGGGCCCCCGCTCTGGGAGGAGCCGGCCCGAGCCCCTCCCGCTCTCCGCCCCCGAGGGGCGGCCCGGGGGCGGGCGGAGGAAGTGAGCGCAGCGGGGAGGAATGCGAGCGGGCGGGGCGTGTCGGCCCGGGGCGGCGGGGACAGCTGCGGGCCGCCAGGACGGCGGGTGCGGCGGGGCTGAGTGTGCGCGATGCCTCACTTCACCGTGGTGCCGGTGGACGGGCCGCGGCGCGGCGACTATGACAACCTCGAGGGGCTCAGTTGGGTGGACTACGGGGAGCGCGCGGAGCGGGAGGACTCGGACGGTGAGGGCGCGTTCTGAGGGGCCGTGGCGGGGCGGCGGGGCCTGCCACCCGGGGCCGCCATCCTGGGCCCGCGCCCGCACTTATCCCGGGACCTTGCGCGCACACGTCGGTGTGGACTCAACTTTCTTTGGTCTGCGCCGCAGCCACTGGCTCGTCGCCCCGCGCGCGCAGACACGATTTTCCTCGGCCCCCGGCGCCCGCGCCCGGCCACTTTCTCCACCCCAGCTCCTCCCCTGTGGGCCGCGGGCGGGGGCTGCAGACGTGGCCGCCCAGGGAGGCCAGCCGGCCGGGGCGCCCGGCTTGGGGACAGGGCCGAGACCCCATCTCAGGCCCTTCCCGGCCTTTCACCTTCGGTGAATCCCACATCCTCTTCTCGCCTCGGTTCCCCACTTGAGATTCAGCGTCTTTGCCTGTGAGACGACCCTCTGCCCAACTACCCAAACCCCTCCGTGTGCCTCTCTGCGCCAACCTGCACTCTGGCCAGAGTGTACCCACTGGGGGTCTATGGGTAACTGCCTGTGAGTGCGCCCGGTGTAGATCTGTAGGGACAGTGGGCCTCTGTGAAGCACTCAACACGGAGCCAAACGTTTAATCCTCCAGCATCACCCGTGGGATAAGTACGGTTACTCCCAATTAGGAAGCAGTGA